CTTTCTGAATGGACCATCTTCATCTCCCCTGCAGCAAACAGGCAGCTCTTTTTTATATAGATTACAGTTCACTAAAAGGTCGCATTGTGCCCTTGTTTATATTTTTAATAGTGTAATTCTGTAAAGACTAAATATGTCTGGTGGTCTAGCTCTGATTTACATATCTTGTTAAATTGCGGGTTTGAATATTGCAATACTTTCCTATAACAAAATAGACCTGCAGAAAGAATTTACTAATAAAATATCTTGCATATGCATAGTTGTATGCTCTATATAGAGATTTTCCTTAACTTTGATTGTATATCTCACAATTTTGTAATTTATCATTGTTTATTAAACTCTGAAAGCTGTGTGGCTTTGTTAATATTCTGTCTTAGAATGCGGTTAGATGTGCCCTTTTTTTTTGAGCACCTGCCCCTTTAGTGGTCTCTGCACGGCCCTGGTTCGACTAATACAATTTACAGTCTACAGTGAACTCACACATTGTGAATAATGTCAGAGTTGCTACCTATAAAATCAGTTGGTCTTGTAAAGTTTTTAGCAGGTTGCCCAAGTCAACCTACTATATAATCCACTGGGGCAACATTCCGTATAATCTTCCATACACCATACTCAACGGTCATGAACCCAACTTTTCCAGTTCTCATCAAATGTGATGAAGACTTGGATCCATGAAATCACTCCCATTTGGGCCCCACCTAGGCCTGGGACGGGGGCCCACCGCCCCCCAGCCCCTCCTGAAGCCCCACCCAGCGCAGCTACAGATGGCAAGTAAAAGAGTAGACTTTTCTCATCCAGCACATTTGCGAAATTTTCGCTTGTAAACAAGATATATAGAATCAGCTGATGAATGTTATACAGGTAAAAAAAAATTACTTTTCCTAAAACTGCAGTAGAATTTTAACTTTGGTTAAATTAATTTAACCAAAGTTAAATTACAGGATGATCGGATGATCGTTGGACGTTCATGTCATAAGGCAGAAAATCAGGGCAAGAAATTGTGTAGTGTGATCTGGGCTTAAGGTAGTCGGATATGCCCATCTTCTCTATCTAAATCTATTGATTATTCAAAGGCAATATAGTATACAGACTTCATAATCTGTACTCTTTTGGTTGAATGTAGTTTTTATTTCCACTTTGGCTTTATGTTGTTTAGTTTTTATTCAAGTGCATTTTTTATTAATGGAGACTGAGAGTCCATTTTATTTTATTTTTTTGTTTTGTTTATATTCAAAAGAACCCTAAAAACTGGAACTGGTAAAGTGTTTTGTTTTTTTCATTTGGAAGGATATTGCTTGCATTTCAATCTGGAGAAACGCACACAGAGAAAACGCCATCAGTTAGAAAAATTTGTTAGACTGCATTCTTGTTCATTAATTATTGTTTCAACTATGTTTTGCGCAATTCTGTGCGTTTCGGTTCCATTATCTGTAAAAAAAAAGGTGACTCAAAGACCGACTGACTAGCAGAGCAGGAGTTTAAATTGGCTAATCAACCACCACTGAGTTCAGGGGAGAGCTTGTTAATAACCGCAAAATAAATATCAAGCCTGAAAACCTAATATCGTAACGTACTGAATGTTATGTTTTTAACGATCTCTGCTCAGCTTGTAATGTCTGCGCATATGCATCAGTCAAGGTGCAGAAGTGACAATTATATACTGTCGAAATGACAGATGGGCAAATCTTTGTCGTTTAAAAAAAAAACAATGGTCAAATAAGGAAAATATTCCGTTAATGCTACCCCTGCTCAGAACACTCCTGAGCTCAGCTAAACGAACTGAATAACATTATACCCTTTTTGACTAAAGTCAATGATTAATTTATAATTATGGTGAGTATTAGTAAATTGAGTATGCTGAGGTATCATTGGCATTTATTGTTCCAGAGGAACAATAAATGCATGAGGCATTTTTTTCACTCAAAAAGGTAAACACAACCTTTGCTCCTTCGGCAAGTGCAAATCCTCCACCAACCAGCAGGGCAACCTTCCATGGCATCAAGGCTTGAAATTCCTCCCAGGAGATCATGGCCTCTGTATCAGCAGAGAAAAATTTTGTTATATTTTTATGTAAAATGCACAAAATATTACATAAACGGTTAACGGTCCTAAACAAATAGACATTACCATCAAGAATGGAATTTATGTGCTTATTAATACTCTTCACAGAGTTTGATTTAATTTTTGTTTTGCAACCTGTGTTTTAAACATGTGTTTGGAAGTCCCATCTATATAATTACCACATTTAAATCGTGGAAGGCTTTGCGTATCCCTGTGATCATGTGGAGTACACAGACAAAGGCAGCTTGTGCATGCTGATTCCAGAAGTTATTATTGGGAGGCAGAATGTCCCTTTGCTGGCAGGAAAAGAGTGGAAATTGGTGTGTGAAACTGAGCTTTACCAACTGTCAGTGGAGTGGGCTTGAGAACCTGCCCCTTTTGTCCTTGATGCCCTTTGAGTTTTTTTTTTTCCTGTGTGCCAGGAGCCCGCCTGTGTCCCTCAACAATAGTGTTTAGGTAAATATAATAATTTAGTAGGCATCCCTCAGTCTAATAATGACTTGGTCTCATGCTGAGGATTCTCAGTTCCTCTGCCTCCATGTTGTTAAGACACTGGGCACATGGTGAGGAGGAGGGGGATGGATCTGGGCCCTCTAACGGTCAAATTATGGACAAGGATATTTATTTTCAACATACATTGTTTGTGAATAAAAACAGGTCAGATGTTGAAGTTAGAAAAACTGTCTATTTATTTTTCGTAATTAATTGTCCTCGTAATAGCGGAAAGTCCCTCCTCTCTCCTAAACACAGAAATGGTTCAGCTGCAGAGAAAACTTCCCCAGTGCTGGACTAAATGCCCGGTTCGCTACTGACAGCCTGAATTGGTCCCACTGTGTGGGCCGGAACCAGATATCCTGATATAGAGAAATGGTACCGCGACTGTCACCGCAACGCACCACAGAGCCTCAGTACCACCTGCTCACTGTTCGCTCTCTGCTTCACCTTAACCTAATGTTACTACCAGGCGGTTCTCACCACTGCTGACGGGATCTGGGCTGGAGGTGAGCAACTGTGAATAGAAGTTACTGCAGAAGCTCATCTGCTAAAGAAAGATTCAGCTCATAGCATTTGGAATTCACAAAATATCACATAAACATCAGCAAAAATACTTTACCAACTATTTGGACCACAGCAACAAACATGCCACAATTAAATAAATCAAGATGTCCCAAAAGCAGGGCAGACTGGCATAGGGGCTATCGGGGGATTACAGGTTGATTCCAGAGATGCGCAGCGGCTCGCTGTTCATGCAGGGCCAGGCCAAAGTAATATGGGGCCTTAGACAGAATCATGATTTAGGCTCCCCAAGCCCCTTCTACTAAGAACCTCAGCATCACTAACAGTGTTTAAATATAGATTTAGTGAAATCCATGACAAGAAACCCATAAACTGGCTGAGTTTAAAATCAATAATTGATTATTGGTTATTATTTGCTGTAACAAACTCAGCTCTTACACGTAGATTACACCATATTATAGCCATGGTAACACAACGAACTATCCAGATGATTCTTTGCACTTTTACAAAGTAAACTTCCTAACTAAATCTTAAATGTACAATTTATTTTTTTTATTTTTTTTCTCTGCTGAATGCATTAAATAAAATTTAATAACACTGACATTCTTAATAAAAAAATGCCACAGGTTTATATCTAAGGTTTCTTTTACAATTCAACCATTTATTCAGCCTCTGAATGTCTGGAGGGGCCTTACCAGCAGCTACTGAGTTTTCTTTGCCTTGATATCTGTAAGGATTTGGTTATCTCAGTGTTAATTAGTTCCTGTGTTGTCATGTCTTCCCCTTGATTGCTGCCACTTGTCCCTTGTTTCCCCTGATTACCTTCCCTGTGTATTTAAACCCACCTGTGTCTCTAGTTCGCTGTTGGGTCCTTGTTGAATGCTGTCAAATTTCCAATGTCCATTTGTGTGTACCACCAATTGCTACCAGCAATTGAGCTCCTAGCCTCTCTGCTCACTTGTGCTGCCTGGACTTTGCGTACTGAGAATCATCATTAAAATGATAATTTTTCATCAACAAACTTGGTCCACTACGTCTATCCTCACCACCACAAAACTCCATTTCATGACAGAAGGACCAGACCTGACAGAGGTGATGTTATGCTTCAGGTGAAGGACCGGACAGCAAAAGGAAAGAAAAGAAACTAACAATATGGACCCAGCAGACTTTGAACACCTCAGATGGACTGTCAAAGAATTAATTGATACAGTGGCTCACCCTGCTCCACCAACATACAACTTGATGTAGCCACCAACTGTATCATCACTCTGTGGGACTGGTCTCCTCGTCTCCCCAGCTCTGTTAACAGAGCTCATGGAGGAGGCGGAGTGGCACTGCCAAGCAGCTCTTGCTGTTGCATTCTGCGAAACATGGATATTCCCATCTTCCGCTCTCAGTCATCCTCCACCGGACCTTCCCCAGCCACTGCAGCCCACCAGACCTTCCACGGCAGGTCCCACCCTGACCATGCTGATTTGTTTTGGACTGTTTGTTTTATTTCCTTGTGTTCTCCATTTGAACTGGCCCCCTGTCCGGTGCCACTCTGTTTGGGTTGTTTTTGATTTTCTTTGGACTCTGGAGTAAATGACAAACTGAAAGCCGCCAGGAGGATGAGACCAGCATGTCCTCTGATCACTAAGATCCAAAATGTTTGTAAATTTATTAAAGAAAAGAAACTCAACAAAACTTGTTCGAATTAATGACCCAACAAAACTAATAATCTCAATAAATATTTTTTCAACAAGGTGTTGAGCAATTCTGCGCGTTTCGGTTCCATTACCTAAATAAAAAAAGCCAACTCAAAGACCGACTAACAGGAATTTAAGTTAACTAAATTAGCTAATCAACCACTGCTGTGTTCAGGGGAGTGCTTATTAATAATTAAAAAATAAATATCATGCCTGAAAATCTAATATTGTAATGAACAGAATGTTATGTTTTTAACGTAATATCTGTTCAGCTTGTGGAGGGCAGGTGGTTGCCACAGCAACAGAGTGCTTAAACGACACAGAGAAAGAGAGCAAAAATGTACGAGTGGTTTTGAGTTGATCACCTGTTTGAGTTATTTTACCTTTATTTACCTTTGCTGTGGCTCATCACAGCTGCTGTAGTTTCTGAAAATTCAATATACGACAAACTTGGGCCAATTACCTAATTCGTCTGTGAGTATATGTCAATCACAACAAAAATAGGACAAATATATTTCATTAATTAAAAAACAAATTACTTCTATCACAATAATTATGTGAAATTAAATTAATTGTCTAATATTTTTTAAAACAAAAACGTGCTCTCTGGCATTTTGTTTCAAGCACAGTCTGAAAGGCTTTTCCTCTATCAAACATGCTATTGATTTTCATCTCTTTATTAAGTGGAAATATTGATGTTGATACTTTCTCCAAAATTACTATCTTTTTCAATCATTATATCTCCACTGTTGAAAATGAGGAGCTGACATTCACAAATGATATTGACATGAAATCCAGTCTAACATCTGGTTTGAGATGATTCCTCTGGAACCTGTTGAAGAAAAATATCCTCTTTGGTTCCTCCTATCCAGTCATAGCATAGTTACTTTGAAAAAGTAACTTGGATCATTTGATTGGTAAAGTAGCTAAGTTACATTAAAAGTAACTTTTGTAGTTACTTTCAGCAGCTGCTAACAACAACGCTCCACCACCTGTGACAATGACATTGATCTTTGCCAAAACTTAATTGCGAGTTATTTTATAATGGTAACATCAACAATGTTTCTCCACTTATATGGTTGAACTGAAGGTTCAACCATATAAGTAACCTAATGTTACAACAGTAACCTAATGGTACTGTTGTAACCTAATGGTTACAACAGTACAAAAAAACTTTAGTAATTTGTGTGTGTTTTTGTGTGTTCCAGTATTGTCTGTAGGATTTTAGGCCCCTCTCTTCCCCCCGCCCCAGCCTCCAGGTTCTGTCTTACGGCTCTGCGTTTGGTGTCACAGCGCACAGAGCTCCTCCTGCCGCTCCACAACTCTGATGTCCTTCTGCACAGATTTGTGACACTTATCTTAATATTAATAATTATAATGGCGTTTAGTTGCGCAACTCTACGGACTCATTCATTCATGGCTGTTTAAACGTTTATTGAACTTTTCATATTAGTCTCAATGTTTGCAGTTTTCTGGAGCGCAACGTGAAGCTCGACGTCATTCAGAGGTTATATATTAACTTGATATAAACAAAGACACAGTGGGACGGATCATCTGGGAAATGATGGACAATTAGAGTCTGACTAAACCTAACTGGATGTCAGACAAATTCTGGGGTTTATGCCTCCTTATTTCCAAGCCCAAAAACCGCAACCCGCGACTCATTACATCTGCAAGCGACTTTAGAAAAAAAAACAAAACAAAAAAACAACAAGCTCAAAGCTGCTTATAATAATCGGACTTGGCGACAGAAACTCTAAATAGTTCCTGTTTTTCCAGCAACAAAATGCGCATCTCCCTCTTCCCTCTATCGTTTCTGTTTCTGTCGCTGCTGATTAGTGTCGCAGAAACAGTGGTCACTCCCCAAGACGTGTAGAGGAAATTAAATTAAATTACAAAACAAAATAGTAACGCAAAGTGATTTCGATAAGTAACTGTAGCCTGACTACTGGATTTGAAATAGAAACGCGTTAGATTACTCGTTACTGAAAAAAGTGGTCTAACGTCAGACTGCTCCTATCAGTCTGAAAATTCTCATATTGAGGTCATCAAACCAAAGTTCAGATCTATCATAACTGATTGATACCTGTCGACCTCAGGTTTGCAACTAGTTTCTGACTATGAGAAACAAATAAGCTCCTCCTCGTGTCAGAATCTCACTGAGGAGATTTTTGGGTTTTCTATCACATTAATATGTCTACTATAACTGACGGATATTTGCATATAAAATAAGTCACTAGAGTTTCATTTTCAATTTTTATATCTTCATGTCATGAAGTAGATCTCAGCCAGCTGGTGAGAGAAAAAGTAGATCTTGGTCTCAAAAAGTTTGGGCACCCGTGTTGAACAGTGTTTTAAGATTTTGTTCAATGTGCCCCTTTTTAACTTTTAGCCCCTGCCCCTCCAAAGGTCTCTGCACGGCCTGCCGCCCCTGGACTCCAGAGCAGTGGAGGCATGCTCTCTGTGGTGATAAATTTTGCTTCTTCATCTGGCAATCTGATGGACAAGTCTGGGTTTGGCAAAATTGCCAAACCCAGAATGGCACTTGTCTTTCCATTATGCCAATTGTAAAGTTTTTTGGAGGGGGGATTATGGTGTGGGGTCGTTTTTCAGGAGCTGGACTTGGCCCCTTAGTTCCAGTGAAAGGAACTCTGAATGCTTCAACATACCAAGACATTTTGGACAATTTCATGCTCCCAAACTTGTGAGAACAGTTTGGAGCTGTCCCTTTCCTCTTCCAACATGACTGTGCCCAGAGCACAAAGCAAGGTCCATAAAGACATGGATAGCAGAGCCTGGTGTGGATGAACTTGACTGGTCTGTACATAATCCTGACCTCAACCCAATAGAACACCTTTGGCATGAATTAGAGTGGAGACTGAGAACTAGGCCTTCTCATTCAACTTCAGTATGTGACCTCACAAGTGTGCTTCTGGAAGAATGGTTAAAAATCCCCATAAACGAACTCCTAAATGTTGTAGACGGCCTTCCCAGAAGGGTTGAAGCTGTTCTATCTGCAAAGAGTGGATCAACATCATATTGAACCCCATGGGTTAGGAATGGGATGTCACTTAAGCTTTTATGTGAGTCAAGGCAGATGAGCGAATACTTTTGGCAATATAGTGTATCTATTAGCTACAATCTAACAGTTTGTCATATAAGTGAATCATATTTTTCTCGTTTAAACAATATTCTGGCATGCAGGAAAGTCAGAATATGGATTGTAAAGTTTTGTATTAAAGTCAGCACAAGTTTGAGATTAATTAACGCTTATGCTCTATGTTAATTTTGGTTACTTTTTATTTGATCCTTGGTAGATTTTAACAGAGGTACATCAGCTTGTACTTCACAGAAGCAGCTTGACTTTTCTTTTGGAAGATCATTTAAGTAGAATTCCCAACCATGACTAAGTCAGCAGCTATTTATTTAAATATGTTCCAAAAAGATTATTATATTTGCACAGTCTCTTCATTAAATTTTCAACAATATATGCTATTACCATATTTCTTGTCAGGTCCATGGGCAGGGATGATAAAAAACAAGAAACCCAGCAGCAGGGCCACAGTAGCATCCGTGATATAGCCTGAGTGACTGTAAAAGTGAAGAAGAAATAAATTAATTTTGATGTAAATTCTCATTCATCCAGGATATGATAACATTATAAGTGTTTCAGACCACTAAACTTATTTTTTGTTTCTAGAACACATTCACCTGTTACCTCTTAAATTCTGAGCATGGTTGGACAAACAGATTAAAAAGTTGCAATTAGAACAGTCACACTGAGAGGGTCTTTAAAGTTATGTAATATATAAGGGTTAACGAGAAGTGGTCAAGATCTCTTGATCAACTCTAATCAGTCCCACGAAAATTAAATCCGTTTCAAATTCTGGTTGCCCTTTATGAGGGTATCACACTGTTATAGCACCACCAGCCAAATTTTTCCTAACATCTCACACTTCACATGCACCAATATGAAAGTGGAAGCATAAAAGCATTTTTTTTTAATTACACTATTTTCAAAACAGAATCACAAGGATTGCCAATGAAGCACCTTTGTTTTTCTTTAATTTTTCCAGGTTTACCTTCGTCTTCTTTGCAGTTACATATTCAAGGAATCAAGGATTAAAAGATTTTTATTGTCATACTATTTCACAATTGCTTGCTTGTGGTACAAAATTCAAACTCAGGTCCCAGACCAAGAATTCAAATGAATAAGTAATGGAGTACTCTATACTACATACAGTATGTGTGTAAATAAATTAATTAATTTAAAAAAGTAAGCTTTAGCTGAATTAAGTGCAGTTTCAATTCAGCGGTCTGATGGCTGAAGGTTAGAAACTGTTTTTTGTGGACTTGCTCTGGATGCTCCTCAGTGTCCTGCCTGAAGGGAGCGGCATGAACAGTCTGTGTGCAGGATAGGTGGAATCCTTCATAATGTTGCACGCCCTCCTCCTGCATTGTGATATGTAGAGAACCATGGTAGATGGAAGGTTGCTCCCCCCAGTCCTCTGTGCGGCCTTAGCCACTCTCTGCAGAGCACTCCTCTCACTGGAAGACTCTGCGGTGATGCAGGTGCAGAGAACACTCTCCATCATACAGCAACAGAAGCTCCTCATTTCAAAGTCCAGCTCTCTGCAGCTTCCTGAGGAAGTAGAGACGCTGGTGGGCCTTCCCAACCAGATGGGAGGTATTAATACTCCAGGTGACGAGGTCACTGGATATATGCACACACAGGTACCTGTAGCTGGAGACCACCTCCAAAGCTGCTTCTCTGATGTACAGGGGATGAAGGAGGATCCTTGTCCCTTCTGAAATCCACCTCCATCTCCTTGGTCTTCTTCACATTGATGCAGAGGTTATTGTCTCTGCACCAGGTGTCCCACCTCCTCTCTGTAATTGGACTCATCACTGTTCGTGATGCATCCACTATTACTGTGTTGTCACCAAATCCAATTATATGCCAGTTGGGGAGTCTTGCCAAGGAGTCACACGTCAGCAGAGTGAAAAGGAGGGCTTTCAGCATGCAGCCTTGCAGCAAGCCTGTCCTGAGGATGATGGAGGAGGAGACGGTGTTGAGGATCCTTACAGTCTGAGGTTTGTTGGTCAGGAAGTCCAAAATCCAGTTCCCCAGTGTGGGATTTAGTCTAAGATAGGAGAGCTTCTGGACCCGGATCAGTGGGATGATGGTGTTGAAGAGTACATTTGACAGTGAAGTGTCCCTTGGGCATTGTGCATTCCTGTTGTAGTTTGTGATGCACTTGAATTCTTATCAGATCTGCTGGGGGTCATTGGTGGTGAAGGGACCTTGAGCTTTCTGGGCGTATGTGACTTTGGTCCTCACGATGCCAGTCAGTTCTTTCCTTGCCTCCCAGAGTGCTGATGCCTCACCTTCCTTATCGCAGGATCCACAGCTTTTCAAAAGAGCTCTCACTTCATGTCTCACCCCTGCATCTGACTGTGACAACAAATCATCTGACTGTGATGATTTGTCATCACAGTCAGATGTGGTGACCACAGTCACCACATCTGACTGTGGTGACCTGTATACCACAGTCAGATCTGGTAAAAGGTTACTTTCTTGGTGGTGGCAACTTCATCAGTATACTTGGAGATGAACCCCAGAACCAAAGAGGTGTACTCCAGGTCCATCTCTCCCTCATAAGAAGCCAGAACAAAGGCTGCATCCCTGGGCCACACAGTGACTGTCTTCTTCGTTGGCTTTATCTGTCTCACCAGCAGACGATATGCTGGTACCACCAGGATAGAAATGTGGTTGGAAAGGCCAAGATGGTGGCAAGGAAGAGCTCTGTATGCACTGTGAATGTTAGTGTACACACAGACCAGAATGTTGGTAAAAACCGAGCAGAGTGTCCATCAGTTTTATGTGATTAAATTCTCCCTCAACCACGTAAAATGCTTCCGGGTGCTTTATCTGCAGTGAGGTAATGGTGTCATACTGTTTCTTTGATGCTTTGTTGCCATTAACACCTGGTGGGATGAATTCAAGAGTCAGATGGGATGCGTACACAGGTGCAGTGTGAGCAGTCAAGTCACATCCATGATTTGTGAGCTGTGAATTATCAAACCTTGCACTGGTGCTGGACAGTTGGAGCTGAAGCTGAACACACTGACTGAAATTGCAGCATTTTCTCAGCTTTACTTCCAACAATGTTCACAAATGAAGATGCTGCTTGGTTGAGAGGTGAGATGTGATCAAGAAACAAGTAGCTGCCTTCTACTTACCAAGTCAAGGTATGACTGAACTGTTGATTTAATATACGTGTAAAAATATATAGAACATATGAATTAAGATATGCAAGTAAATGTGACTCACTGAGGGAAGAGAGAAGCCCAACCAGGCATGAAACCTGGAGATCTGGTTAACCACAACAACACCATCAGCAGGAAAACCATGCCAGTGAAGATCTCCTGAGGCCTGGATAGATAAAATCAATTATAACAGATTAAATAATGTGTAATTAACTACAAGGATTCTTTATGTAGCATGCCTTAGAAATACAAAAAATGTATACTGAATGAGTCTATGAATGAGTAACCAAATAATCACCTGATTGCTCCCAATGACTTGTATTCTTCCTCTATAACTTTTCTTGCTGCTTTCTCTTTCCCAGACTGCACTCCATTACACTGCCACAGGAACGTAAAGCTATGGAGACAGTGTGTAAATGTCTACTAGGAATTACAAAATGTAAGAAATAAGAGTGCTAGTTGAATCCCTAAAATGTACTTTAATTTCCAGGCTTAGAAAAAAACAAAGTTTTTCTTATTCAGTGTTATCTTTATTGTGTCATAACTGCCCTGCAAATTCTTGCTGTTCACAAAAATTAAAGAGAAACTAGAAGTCTTTCCCAAAATAATTGATGCAATTACACAGAAGGCTATTAATATTTGCAACTGTGTATTGCTTGTATATCACAGTCAGATCTTATTTCATCTGGCAACATATTGTTGTTTCCAATGAAATATCTATTATTACATTCTAAACCAGGGGTGTCAAACTCATTTTCATTTTGGGCCAAATCAAGATCATGAATCCTCTTAGAGGGCAGTTTGTGACAGAATGTAGTGATAAAACCTTGTTGAGAACCTGTTAAAATATCAATGAATATTTGAAATTGTCAGGTTGGGTTAGACCCAGGATGTAGGTGAAATAATGGTTTTAATAAAGACGACTCGACAGTCCAGAACTGGCAGCACGGCAAAGTTAGCAACAGCTAATACCGGTAGCAACAGATAAATGGACTAACATGCAAGCTAACACAATCCAGGACTAGGCAGTTCCACTGGAGAGTGTGGCAGGAGAAACAGGCGTGGCAGCTAATCACAAACAAAGACGAGGATCCGACAAGGAACACAGACAACAGGTGAGACTAAATACACTGGGAGGGTAATCACAGGAATGAGACACAGCTGGGATCAATCAACAGGGAGAACAGGACAGAAACTCACAGGGAAACAGGACTAAACACAGAAAATCTCAAAAATAAACACACAGAAACACGGAACATGACAGAAATTAAATAATATTATTGAATATATTTTCAGTTAAATTCTTCTTGTAATTTTTTAAACAATTAAAATCAGAGCATTTGTGGTACTAATTTGGAAATATTGGCAAAATATTGGAAATATTTTATTACCTGCTGTATAGATCATATTAAGGTTGAGGTAGCTGTTTGGTACCAACTATGCATTAGTGCAAAAAAGTGTGAGGATTTGTTGATTTTGCATGAATTTCTACAATAATTCTCAAGAAATTGGAGGGACTGATGGATATAATCTGGAAGTAAACAGATAAAAACTACATTGCTTTGATTGATAACATAATATTTAAGCACACTTAGTGTTAAGTCTAGAATCTAGAGGGCCACATAAAAAGCTATGGTGGGCCAGATTTGGCTCACAGGCCTTGAGTTTGACTTGTGTTCCAAACAGTGACTTTTCAGTAACACTTTATTTGAAGGGGTGTGCATAAGATTGTCATGACACTGTCATAAACATGACATAACACCTGTCATGAACATGAATAAGTCTTCATGAATATTTATGACTGTTTAATGCAAAGTTGACATTATTCAAAATTTCTTTGCTATGAATACTTGACATTAACCTAGGCAAAAATGTCTGTTATGACAATTTGATATTAACCTAGACAAAAATGTCTTCATTATGACAAGTCATAATAGTTGTTATCAACATGTAAAATGTTATGCATCTTTGTGTTTTATTACATTTCTACGTCATTATTTGTTCATTTTTAACAAGATCACTATAATTGTGTAATTAATATTTTCCATTAAAAAATTGTCGACATTGGACTAGTCAACCAATATTACAGACTAGTCCAATGCAACAAGTGTATAACACTGGACTAGTTAGAGATGTCATTAAGTGTTATTACACTGTCAAAAGGTTTAACACAGTATTAATATTTCCCCCTACCTGAAATAAAGTGGAACAAGTGGAATCAATGATAAAAATTTAATTAAGTTTTATTACAATATCAAATACTTTAATCAGTCATTAATAATTCCTCTATCGTCAAGTAAAGTGGAACAAGTAGCACCAGTTATGAAGACATCATTAAGTGTTATTAAAGTGTCAAATGCTATAATAACTGAGTCATTAATATTAACTCTTACCTCAAGAAAAGTGGAACATACTGTACAATTTATAACTACTATAATAGCTGTAGAACAAACCCTTTGTACACTGGAATAAAAAAAGGATTACTTGTTCTTCAAAACAGGGGGTTCAACATCTGGTCAGCATATTGTAACTCAGAAATAGTGATTAAAAACTAAAACAGAATTACTTATTCTTTTTAAAAAAGAAAAGGTCCTTGAACAGTCGTAACATTTTTTATTTGCTGTCATCATGTCAGCCATCTCCTTTCTTATAACCTTCCTGTGGTGCTCTGAAAACAGGGAAATCTTCTTGTCATTATTTTCTGGAAGCCACTCTTTCAAGGTGTCCAGAAATGTTCAGAAATTATAGCTGTTCTTGCAATGTGGTTAACGTTAATCATGGTGAAAGCCTTTCATGAATTCAAACTTGGAGAATCTCTTCTGGACATTCTCATAGTGGGTCATGACTCAGTAACTAAGTGGTCACTTAAAAAGTAACAATAAACAAAAAACAATATGATCTTAATTCAGCATTTATTTAAGTACCATTTCAAGAATGTCCCTTGCTGCACACTGTCAGAATGGTACAGTGGCAGACAAATATCTAGTTAACATGACTGGTTGTTCTAAAGTGCAATATAATTATTTCTTAGTACAAGCAGCATCATGACAAGAGCTGAACAAAATTATTCTGATCAAATATTTATTTGGCAGAAGTTTATACAGCCACAGTAACACTTTATTTGACAGGTTGCAAATAAGACTGACATAACACCTGTCATGAACATCAGAAAGTCTTCATGAATATTTATGAGTCTTGTCATAAAGCATCATTCGGTAAACATTTTTAATACAAAGTTGGCATTATTCAAAATGTCTTCATAATGACAACTTGACATTAACCAAGAAATCATGATCTGTCATAAATTTGTTATAAAAGTATTACTGATTGAATTTTAAAAATTATGTAGCTTCATCTGGTAATATTATATTGCTCTGCCATTGTTTATTAGATCAATTCCTAATTGATCTAATAAACAACATTAGATCAGTAAACAAATTAGATAAATTTCTAATTGATCTAATTGATCTGAAGTTTTGCAGCAAGATGTCTACAAAGCACTTATGAACTTTGGATTTGAAACATTATTTAAGGCTGTTTTAAGTAGTGCAATACACCATCTCCACCAGTGAGAGGCAGCAGTGGACGAACAGGCGTCCAGTGTGTGGGTGAAGAAGAAATCTTCCATATTGTGGGGCCCATAGACATAATATAAGGATAGACCCTCATGGACCGCTCTCGCCTATTATCGCTGGCGAGACTTAGGGCGGCCATCTTGGAGCGGTACTCCACTCCACTCAGCCTTATGTGTTTGGCAGCACAATGACGTATCAGCGCATTTAATCGATCATAACACACTTTGTTACTGGAAACCATATTCAAACAGCTATCAAAGCAACATTTATGAACAATTGTATTTTTTAAGTATGTCTTTAATACATAGCTCATATTTAAATATGCTTAGTGGCTATAACAATAGAATAGGAATGGAATATTCTGATATCGATGTATGAAGAGCATATTACAAAGCACACACCCGTTCATAATTTATTTAAATTATCATAATTAATTTAAATAAATTTATTTAAATTATTATTATTATTATGGTGGTGAGCATAGACATAATATAAGCATAGACGCCTCATGGACCGCTCCGGCGCAGGAAATACAGCGGCCATCTTGGAGCGGTATACCTCCTACTTTGCTCAATCAAAACAGCAGAAGATGCCTCAGCACTGAGGGATATTGTTCTGGTCGATGGATTATTGATGCGAGGGCTCCACAGACAACATTTCACAAGTAAGATGGACATATTATTGTGTATATATTGTGATTAGAATATTACTTTACTCTATTTATGTCCACCGGCAAGATACCAGCTAATATTAGCTACAGTGCTTGGTGTAATACGGGTTCAGCCCCGCTATGAAGGCTAACTGAGATTCTGTCAATCTAAAAAAATTTATTATTCTCTAACTTTGACTTAGATTATCTAACACAAAAGCCTACATTAGAAATGAAACAATATAACACATATTATAAAACTTATATTATGTGTTATAACATTCACCAGCAAAGTTTACACAGGTGGTAAAGACTATTTATATTTCTTCACTCTGTCAAAAGTAAGATACATCCTAAATCTTCCGTTTTTGTTTTGAAAATTTCCTAGACACGATGTGAGGAAGAAGAGGGAGATATCTATAAAGAGAGACGGATTCACTGCAGCACGGATAAATCTCGGATCAGATTTTGGACTCAATCTCAGCTGCTCAATCACTATGAAGCTACGACTCGTTGGCTGAAAAACATATACATATATCTATATATGTATATGTTTATACATACATATAAACATGTATAATTTATGGGTAGCACATATAAACAGAACACCGCAAGTAAATGCAGCCCATTTATTTCTGTTGATCCAACATCAAAATGTCTAAAGTCTGTGTCCTGTGCGGTTGTTCCAACCGTTCTAATAGAGAGAAAGATAAACGTTATTTTCGTGTTTCGAAGATAGTTGTTCACAAGGGAGCTAATTTTAAAAAAATATACCATAAAAGAGGAGAGAAGTGGATTAACAATCTACAGCTAAAAACAGGAGATGCAGAAACTAACAATGCCAGAGTTTGCAGTGCCTACTTTCTAACAGGTAATGATCTCATCATTAGGCCCGAGCAGCTAAGCGCTGCAAAGGCCTATTGAAATTGTGCTGTAAATTATTATGCTTCTGTTAAATAAATTGGCTTTTTGGAGGCTTTTTCATATTCAAAAACTCACCAAACTTGGCGGACGCATCCAGACTGTGAAAAATTTACATATTTTAAGGTCAACGCAAAAATCGCAAAAGAAACGGCTCAACGGCGCCACCTAGCAACTTTCAAAAGACCCTTTCCTATTAACTTACTTCATCATAGACACATGAAATTTGGCACATTTGTAGAGCTCCCCAAGACGCTTAGAATTTACAATTAATGTCATTGTGCAAGTTTGACAGGAAGTCAGCCATTTTGGATTGAATTTGCGAATTTGACCCCATTTTGGCCGTTTACAGTCTTCGCATTTGATCAAACGCCTCCTAGGGATTTCGATGGATCGGCTTCAAACTTGGTCAGTTGATTCATAAGGCATGCGCGATTAAAATTTACCAAGACGGTGAGTTTTCCTGCATGCTGAAGGGGAGATACCAGGGGTCAAAGTTCACTACTTGCCATAAAACTCAAAACTGTTATATCTCCTACACAAAAAGTCAGAGAGGCACCAAACTTTCAGTGATCGATCAACATTGGGTGCTCTACAAGACAAAATGGTCAAATTTTGACATCACCTAAGCCACGCCCCCTGAGAACAGGAAGTATTATGTTTTACTGTGAACGGTCACTATCTGACCCCTTTGACCTTATTAACATGAAACTGTGTCCAGCGACAGAAGGCATGTTGGTGTGTTGTGGATTCCAACCCCGTTTGGTTTAGATGCAGCAGGTGGGCGTGGCAGCGTGGCGAAGTCACCTGTAACGCCGTGTCCATACGTTTGGCTCTGAATTCCACAATTTTAAGTCCAGCTGCACCAAACTCAATAGGATGGATCCTTATCCAACCACGGACAGGAATCCAGTGCAATATTTGGTGGGTGTGGGCTAATGTCTCAAAAGCGCCCCCTGGAATATTTTAAATGATCAGCCCGAAGCCATGCTTTATCTCAGAATTATGAAACTTGGTACACATGTGTATCTTGTCAGGATGTACAAAGAAGTCTTTTGGAGCCAGGGTGCAAACCCAACAGGAAGTCAGCCATTTTGGATGAAAGCTGCTATTTCCTCTATTTTAGACGTCTCATCGAACTCCTCCTACAGCTTTTGAGATACAGACTTCAAACTCAGTCAGCATGCTCTTGAGACATTGAAGGTGAAAAGTTATCGAAAGAATTCTCGTACATCAAAGCATGTGGGCGTGGCTAAGTGTCAAACTTTGACTTTTCTCCACAAAACATGAATGTGCAATAACTTCTACAGGCAAGGTCAGAGCTGCATCAGACTTTCCATGTCTCATTATAGACCAGCCTTGATCACATTAAAATGGTCATTTGATGACATCACCTAAGCCCCGCCCCCAACCAACCGGAAGTTCCCTTTTTTTTCTGCAGGATGTCTTACTTTTACTCTATGATTCAAATAGGTGGTAACACTTTATTTGAAGGGGGTTGAATAAGACTGACATTACACGGTCATAAAAAACTATCATGAACATGAATAAGTCTTCATAAATATTTATGACTGTTGTCATAAAGCGTCATTCGGTAAATTATGACACTTTTAAAACAAAGTTCACATTATTCAAAATGTCTTTGTTATGACAACTTGACATTAACCAATAAATCATTACTGATATAAATTTGTTATAAAAGTATTACTGATTGCACTATAAAAATTAGGTAACTTTATGTTAAAGGTAAAGTTTAAACAGTAATGATTTATTGGTTTATGTTTATGACAGTGTCATGACAGTCTTATTCAACCCCCTTCAAATAAAGTGTTACCAAATGGGTTTAATGCTGTGCCAACTGACATAAAATGACATGATGATGAACTCTGTGATTATTGCCTGCTGGCTGAACCGCGTGGGCGTGGCTAAATAGCGAATAGCAATGCTCGCCATATGTCTACGATCATCTCTAAATCAAACATGCTTCATCCAATTTGCACCAGACTTTTTATGATTGACCTTCGTGAACCTCTAAAGAGCCCAATGGCATTTAATTGTAATTTGACTCCACTGCACCCCCTAGGTTAATCAAAGAGCTGTATCTCTTCGCTACATCGGCCAATCTGCACCAGATTTTTTGTGCATCATCAGGGAGCAATGCCGAACACATCGATGCATATCGCCTGGCGGACGGGTGCAGGAGTTGCGCGAGCATGTCAGCGGTGGCGGGAACCCTCCGGCCTATTGGCCCCACAGTGGCCAATAGGCCGGAGCAGCGCTGAGCTGTGAGGGCCGTTCGAGGCTGCTTGCAGCTTTAATTTAAATTGTATTTTCAGATATTTTATTGGACAGTTACTTTGAAAGACGAGCTTTCATATGTAAGAAAAGATATTGTGGCAGATACAATGTATATATTTCACATCAGAATGTATGCTTTTATTGTGAAGGGGAGAAGGTGAGGTGTGAAGACACCAACAGTTGTTATTTATTCCATTTTTGGTTTTTGTTGGAAGACACTGAGAATAAAACAAGACTCAAATTACTTTTTTGTCTTTTTCTGCTGACTTCCACAATATATTATTTTTATGCCTAGCGTGGTTGTCCTCAGAGTGCTAACGTTGTTAGCAGCTAGCTCAGTGCTGAGTCCCGGACAGAAAATTTAATATTCAGTGGGACTTTAATGATAAAACAAACAAACAAACAATAAAAAGCTAAATACATTAAATGTAACCTACCCTACCATTCAGTCACTGTGAGTTGTGACTATTCCCCAACATGCTTCGTGTCTGGCCACGAACTATACTGGCCAGACACAAACATGGGGTTTCTGTAGATTGGTGCGAATAGTTGATCTACATTGGATCTGAATTCAGTGTCCTACAATAACTCAACATTAACGTACAACTCCAGCAAGAATTTAGATTTACAGAAGCTAAATAAATTATTTATCAGGACATCAAAGCTCAGAAATAACATGGGTTAGTTTGTTGTTAGCAAAAGCATCGTTATCATGACTAATTACTTAAAATAGCACAACTCACTACTCACCTGACAGAAACAAGTTGACAGCCATTTAATGCTTCCTTTGATCCTAAATGATTGACCCAACTTGAAAGTAAATGATTGTATTCTCCAGGCTTTTGAAAGCTTTCTTCTGGCTCGTGGTATAATATGAGGTCTGTAGCTCCAGATAGTTATGTGGATCGCCTCCACACCGGGTAAATCCTCAAGATTATAAGAGAAGTGTTTTTTTTAACCGAGATAATACGGATCATATCCTAAAAATATGCATATTTTTTCGAGATGCCTCATCTGTTCCAGCCTGTTTAAGGCATTAGCATAATCGTTGTGATCAATTTTGCTTTGTTTTGAACCAGAGAAATCCCCTTCCGGGTTAGGGTCAGTGTCTGAAATCCAGCAATTGTTGACTTTGTGTTTTACATCTTTCTGTTTTTGTGTTTTCATTATCATGCAAAGCACTTTGAACTGTCTTGTTGCTGAAATGTGCAGTACAAATAAACTTAGTTGATTGATTGATTATTTTTATTTTCATAATCCAAACTAAACAAATAAATATTTTTTACTGAGTTTGTGCTTTTTTGTTTTCTATTTATTTTTGTTGCTGTTTTTCTTAACTGGCCTGTATAAAATTGGTTAACAACCACATGACCTGTCAAAGTAATAAGTACATACATTACAGTGGTCAGCCTGAAGTTAACCACAATTATTTGTGTACAAACTCAGGTCAGACCACACAGTAACAAATTAACATTGTTATGAACAGCTAAAATTCCACAAGAGCAACTCAAACTGCATTACATCACACTGGGGTTTTATTTATTTTTTTAATATATAAATGTCTGCCCTGTAATGGACTGGCAACCTGCCCATGGTGACCCTGCCTCTCACCCATCGACCTGTGGAGAGTGACCCCACTAGGGATAAGCGTTTCAGAAAATGGAAGCATAGAATGATGAATATAAATGTCTAATGATATTACAGTAAATTTTATTAAACCATGCAAAGTGGTCAATAGTTATTAATTATTACAAAGCAGAGCTAGATTACATGATTTAAGACCACATGTGAGTTAAGATCATAATGATGTGTTGACACTCACTCTGAGCCAAGGAACAACCAGTACAGCCAGATCCATGTGAGCAGGAGCATGATGACACTGATGGGAAGGCACATCAGGAGCCAGTTCCCAAAGTTGATGCAGTTGCATTCTGGGTAAATCCTTAAGGTGAAGACAGTATTAAGAGTGGATCATTTGAATGCAAACACTACTTGGATAAAAATTCATAGTGATGTTAATACTTTCCTAAATGTCTCACTAACACTTTTATTCATACACTGCTGGTTTACCCTGTTATGTTTCTCCTTTTTTTCATACCCAAACCAAGAGTAATGTACATAATGAAGTCAGTCACCCACTGATTGAGATACTCAGAGAAGATGAGATTTGGAGAGGTTCCTGGCAGTGTGGTGATGCCACCAATGTTGGATGAGTAGGCAATACCAATGCACATTGCTTTGCACATCATTAGGTCCTGCTGACTCCTGCTGACAACAGCAGGGGCGCATGCTGCAGCCTTCCAGACAGCAAGAAGGAAAGTGAGACAGAGCATCAGAAGCAACAAGAAGGAAAATACAATGCTTTGAAAAAGTTTTTCTATTGCTTTTATATTTTCTTACACTTAAATATTTCAGATCAAACCAACTTTAATAGCAGACAGAAGAGAATAGAGGGGAAAATAAAGTAATGCATAAATACTTTAAATGTATGCAGCAACAATAACCATAGAAGTTATACAAATAATATTTTTGATGGTAAATTCATACCTGAGCTGGGTCAGACTGGTCAGACTGGGGTTGAGCTGGGTCAGACTGGTCAGACTGGGGCGGTGTTTGAATCTCAACACATGTGAAGTTTTCTGCTGGAGCATCAGGTTTCTTCTCATTGCTGGGAACCAAAACAATGTGTTTTTAGAGTTTAACTTAATGAAACGAAAAGAAAACACAGGAGCACAGAATACAGCAGGAAGGAATTTGAGGGTAGAAAGAACCACTTCAGACTCAGATGACATTCTGATATTCCCAAAGCTCCTCATACCTTATTGTTTTCTTTATTGATTCAGTTTTCATGTCAGTTTCTGCAAAAAAGAACAGAGTTTAACTTTCCATTCAGATCCATTATGTTCTTATGTTTGAAGGTGATGTCCCAAACTGTTCATCATCAAGGATGGGAAACCCTTTTGATATCAATCAATCAAATTTTATTTGTATAGCACATTTCAGCAGCAAGGCATTTCAAAGTGCTTTACATAATTAAAATAAAAA